TTTTTGCTACAGGAAACTTTCTCTTTTTACTTTTCCTTAAAGCTTTACGAAAGAGCAAAGTAGCAAGGAGAGTGCCCAAGCGTGGCTTTATTTGTAAGCACTACTACCTAAAAGCAAAATAGTGCCCCCTGCAAGCACTTCTACTTAAAAGCAAAGTAGTGCCCCCTGCAAGCCAACTAGTGGAGGCGAGCCAACTACGCAGTGAATAAACAAATGATGGTAACGAATGTAGCTAAATGAACTTAACCAACAGCAACAAAATCTAAGTGGCGGGAATTAAACCCTCAACAAACAAATTCCTAAGTGGGTAGGTGCTTTCCCTCGTGTGTCCTGTGTGTGTGCATGCTGGGCACCATGCAGCACGTGTTCACGCATTTGTGCACTTTCATGTGTCACATGCATGACTGCACTTACACAGACGTACGTGCATGTGTGTGTGTGTCTGTGTGTGTGTGTGTGTGTGTGTGTGTGTGTGCGTGTGTGTGTGTGTGGGTGTGTACGAGTATGCATGTGCATGTGTGAGTGAGTGAAGAAACAGAGATAAAAAGGCTGGAGGGGATTGGGAAATCACATTGACTTCTGTGTCTGCTCCTTTCCGCTGCCCCTTTATCTCTCTCTTTTCACCTCCACAAATGAGAGAGAGAGAGAGAGAGAGAGAGAGAGAGAGAGAGAGAGAGAGAGAGAGAGAGAGGAGCAGGGGGAGGGATGCATAGAAATAACTGTAGCGTCCCAACCCCTCTGCTCTTCCGGACCTCTTTTTCTCTCTCCTGCTTGCTCACGAACACATACGCTGGAGTGGGTTCATGCATAGGGCACTTGCGAGCGTGCATGTACATGTGGGGCATGCATGTGTGTACGTGGGGGACCGCCCCTGGCTCGTCTGCATGTGTGTCAGTGGAACCAGAAAGCAGACGTAAGAAATTTCACTGTGTGGCTTTCTGGTTCCACTGACAGATTGATCATGCCGACACGGAAATTTCAAATTTCGTAAGAAAAGGAAACAAACAGAATTGGAGAATTCTCTGAGTCCCGTTTGGCAAGGAAACAACTGTCCGTCCGATGGCCCCTTAAACCAATCGAAAAAAACAACAAAATAAACAAATCAATAAATGACATTAAATTTGATTAAAATGATTAAATAAATTTAAATGTGAAATCTATAAATAATCGTCTTTGCCTGCAGTTGCGCTCTGTGAGAGGATGAGTCATTAACATGCAGAGGAAAGTGCGACTCGAGTACAGCATCAGCTTAGTCCCCGCCGGCCTCAGTCACAGTGTGCAAAGTTACAAACCCTCTGGGCATTCTCGCAGAAGGCACTTTTAGAATTGTCTCTGCAGAATCTGCAGCTCATTTTAGTCAGATTCATCCTGCAATGGCCGTTATTGCGGTCAGGTACACCCAAAACAGTATATAGGGTGGGTGTGCCCTTCCTTCAAACCATGCCTGTTACGCATGTCATTCCGTTGTCCACCGTCGCCTTTTTTTCTTTTTTCTTTTTCTTATTTTCCCACCATCGCTTTTTCGCCCTGCTGGCAAGTGGGCTGCCCACCACCAGGTGATCAGCACCGGACTTATGGGCCACCAGTTGAACCTAGGATGACTCCTGTCTTCACGTGGATTATACTTGTATTTCGTCAGACTGTCTGTCTAGATACAGCAATAATGACCAGGCGCTCTAGTCCGGTGACAATGGCTGGTTAACTAACACCCAGTCATCATGACTGTACTTGGGCCAACTGTCTGTCCGGATTCGGCGATAATGACCGGGTGTTCTATTGGGGGTGGCTGGTTCTCTGGGCAAGTGGCCAAGGCCTCAATTTTTTTTTATTTTTATTTTTTTCAATTCACTTTTTTTTTAACATCCATGTACTAATCACCTCTCGGCCGTTTTCCTGTTCAGACAGCTTCAGAGGCGGTAGGGCTGTCAGCGCTGGGACTCTCAGGCCATACTCACATATAAGGACTTCTTTTCCACTCAGCTACAGACGTGATTGCTGTAAGATGCCTCCGGATCGGGCCGTAATTACGGTCAAATACATTTAGGAAAAGTGCTAGTGTGAGGATGGCCTCTTCAGGCAGGGGTGTACTACCAACTGAGCTAGGTCAGTTGGTAATGCAGGTTTTTTTTTTTTTTTTTTTTTTTTTTTTTTTTTTTAATTGCAGGTATTTCACTCATCTAGTTCCATCTGGATTTCAAACTGAGGTCTGTATTTTAATTTTCAAAGGTACATGGGGGTACCAACTGGGCTATACCCTTTGTTTTTTTTGCCCTCCTTGTTTTTATTTATTTATTTATTTGTTTGTTTTCTGCACCTCTTGACAAAACCTGTTCTGGGCACCGGGGGCTAGGGTCAATTCGATGATGATATCTCAAGGCCGTCGCCCTTTCTTTAGGGGTGAAGGGGGGTGGGGGGGGTGGGGGGGGGTGTTACCTAGGGCTGGCCGTCGCCATTTTTCTAAATGAAATAAATAAATAAATAAATAAATAAAGGACAAAAAAAAGAAAAAGAAAGGGACTGGAATAATATCGGTTTCCAACTTTCCGTCCAATTCATTGTCCTTGTGATGTGCAGGGCAACTTTCCGTCCTTGTGATGTCCAAGTTTGCTTTCAATTTGACGATCGGAGGTTGAAGCCGCAAAGGTAGACCGTCTTGGTCTAAGGGCTGCAGTCAGCGTTTTGAAACTTTGGGAACACGATGGTCCAGGTTCCGTACTTCACCGCTCTCACTACGTACTTTGCCTATGCTCTGCTGTTTGCTATCGGCCATATCCGAGATTTCTTTTCATGCCTACTATGGAAAGAAAAGGTGGCAGACGGCTATGCCCCCTTAACTGGGGACTTTGGCGACTTTTACATTCGGTGGGTCTATCATCGGATCCACGACTGCTTCAATCGACCGATCTGCAGTTCGCCGGGGGCGTGGATCGATGTGGTGGGCAGAGAGAGGCTAGGCACGAGCAACTGGATCCTGAAGAATACTGGCGGGGTGAGGCGGTGTCTGAACCTCGGGTCGTATAATTATTTGGGCTTTGCCGCGCAAGACGAGTACTGCACGGTAAAGGCGATCGAAACGTTGGAAAGGTTTGGCGCGAGCACATGCAGCGGATGCTTTGACGCGGGCAAAACGACCGTCCACGAGGAGCTTGAAAACCTCGTAGCGGAGTACCTTGGCAAGGAAGATGCCATTGTCTACGGCATGGGCTTTGCGACCAATTCCAGCACGCTCCCCGCGCTCGTCGGGAAAGGCTGTCTCGTGATCAGCGACTCGTTGAATCACTCGTCGATTGTTGTTGGTGTACGGGGCTCGGGTGCGAGGGTTAAGGTCTTCAAGCACAACAACCCCGAGCACCTTGAGAAAGTCATACGGGAGTCCATTGCGGAGGGGCAGCCACGCACGCACAGGCCGTGGAAGAAGATTCTTATCGTGATTGAAGGCGTGTACAGCATGGAGGGGGAAATCGCACGATTGCCGGAGATAGTGGCTATCAAGAATGCGTACAAGGCGTACTTGTACTTGGACGAGGCGCATAGCATAGGAGCCATGGGTCAGACTGGAAGGGGAATCTGCGAGTACACCGGGGTGCCCTTCGCCGATGTCGACATCTTGATGGGCACCTTCACCAAGTCCTTCGGCTCCTGCGGGGGGTACATTGCAGGCTCCAAGGATCTGATCACACATTTACGGCACACGAGCCCCTGTCACACGTATGCGACGTCGATGTCACCAGCTGCCGTCCAGCAAGTGACCAGTTCGCTTAAGGTCATCATGGGGAGGGATGGGAGTCGTAGAGGGGCCGAGAAGCTCCGAAATCTCAGAGAGAACAGCAATTGGTTCAGGCAGGAGCTCCTCAAGCTCGGCTGCCAGGTTCTGGGCGATGAAGATTCTCCCGTCATCCCCATTATGGTATACAACCCGGGCCGAATGGCGGAATTCTCCCGCGAATGTTTGAAACGCCACGTGGCGATCGTCGTTGTCGGGTTCCCGGCCTGTTCGCTCATCCTCGAACGGGCCCGGTTTTGTATCTCAGCATCCCACACGCGGAAGGATTTGGAGTACGCGATCGACGTAATTCGCGAAGTGGGTACGATCATGCGGATCTTTTGGGGCAAACCGACACCTGACCTGTTGGCCGATGTACCATCCCTTGCTGCCAAGTTAGCAGCAAAAACACAATAACTGACCAACTGTTGAATTGCAGGCCGGAGTTTGAATCCTGTGCAATGACATAACTCTTAAAAAAAAAAAAAAAAAAAAGAGAAACAGCGATGCCGCTCCCCGTTGTGGGTTATGGGTGCTGTTAGTGAACAGGGCAGTGGTGCTGCTCGCACTATTCTGTGAGCAATAAACCCGACTCTGACGTCTGTGCAAGGCAGGCAAGAAAACTGCTCAGGACGTGATCCTCTATTTTGGACCATGTAAGAGCCCAGGTTGCAGATCAGGCTCGGTCAGGGCCAAATTCAGGCAAACGACAGGAGGATGCTGCCGATGAACAGGGCAATTGGTGCCGCTTTCTCTGTTCTTATGCACAATAAGCATGAATCTGGCTTTACAGGAAGACTGGGTTCAAGCAGCTAATTCCAGGCTATGCAGGGATGAATAATACGCTCTCTTCTGGACTATGTTTAAGCTGATGCTCGTGAAAAAAACAAAGTAGCACAAAAGAGAGTGTATTACTCATCCCTGCATAGCCTGGAATTAGCTGCTTGAACCCAGTCTTCCTGTAAAGCCAGATCCACTACGGATTTGGTCAGTGGAACCTGACACTCGGAAGCCAAGCAGGTTGTAAAGATCTTTTTTTTCAACATCTTGAATCCAGTGGATTTGGTCAATGGACATGACTGGGTTCAACCTGTTTGCTGGGAAAACTATCTATGTGTGTGCGCCATTGAGTTATATTGATCTTCAACATCTTGAATTCAGCGGATTTGGTCGATGGTCGACGATGGACATGACTGGTCTATATGAGTGGATTTCGCCATTTGCCATTGCAGCGTGATGATGGAAAAAGGACCGATGTACATGAGTGCTTCCGGTTGATGGCATTGAACGGATCCCCCTGAAGAAGAGGACTGGTGTATTTGGGTGCATTTGGTCGACGGCGTTGAGCAGATACAGATGCGGACCTCTGTGCGCGCCATCGAGTTGTTATATTGATCTTCAACATTTTGAATCCAGTGGATTTGGTTGATGGACATGACTGGTCTTTATGAGTGGATTTTGCCATTTGCCATTGCAGCGTGATGATGGAAGAAGGACCGATGTACATGAGTGCATTTGGTCGATGGCATTGAACGGATCCCCCTGAAGAAAAGGACTGGTGTACTTGAGTGCATGCGGTCGATGGCGTTGAACAGATCCAGACGCGGACCTCTTTTCTCGTAAGGCTAAACTTCTGTTTTTATTATATCCCTAACTGGGCTCGAAGCAGACTGGAGTGCCCACGGCGGCCGGCTTCAAAATCTGAAAGGCCTACTTCATCCAGGTCTGACCCTCCTCCTACGAGCCCAACCGACGGTGGCATGAACCTGGTCATCCATGTGGCCATATGCATGCTGTCTAAGCAGGCTGGCAGGCTGCTACAGGCCCAGTAGTCGCCCCGGCCAATTGATACCTTGTCCTTAACAGCATCGGTGGCCAGAGGTGTGTTTCCTATGAGCTCATGATAGGACGGACTTAAAAATTCTTTTAAAATTCTTTAAAAATAGTAAAAAAACTATTTTTGACAAGTCTGGGACCCCGATCGTAGGACCCCTAAAGGTTTGAGACAGACGGGAATGACGGGCTTCGGATTAGAAACAAATATTGAAATTAATCGAATGGATATCTCTTTGAAGCTCGACCTGGAGGGTGGCACTTTGGGTAGAAGAGAACTTAGAGAAGTTTTCGCGTTCATGTGAACCGCGGTTTGAACCACGGGTAGTGGACGTTAAGCGAGCTATATACGAAAAGAATGTGTATGGCATAATTGGCATTGCATATTTTTGTCATGCAGGCCACGGCTTTGGGTAAGAAATTAAGTTCACGCATTTGAAATTATTGGCGTACATGGCACGGCGTGGGATATGAAAATTAAGTAGGTCCTAAGTATAGTCCTGGAGGGACAGCTCCCTACTCGTCTGCTGGTGTTGTACGTGGAATCGCATTCCCATTGTTCCAGTTGGTTCCATTTGGTTCTGGTTGGTTCCAGTTGGTTCTAGTTGTTAGTTCTTGATGGTTCCAGTTGTTAGTTCCTGTCGGTTCCAGTTGGTTCTGGTTCATTGGGTTTCCATTGGTTCCAGTTGGTTCCAGTTGTTGGTTCTTGATGCTTCCAGTTGTTAGTTCCTGTCGGTTCCAGTTGGTTCAAGTTGGTTCTGGTTAATCGGGTTTCCATTGGTTCCAGTCGGTTCCAGTTGGTTGCAGTTGTTGGTTCTTGATGGTTCCAGCTGTTAGTTCCTGTCGGTTCCAGTTGGTTCCAGTTGTTTCTGGTTACTCGGGTTTCAATTGGTTCCAGTCAGTTCCAGCTGGTTCCAGTTGTTGGTTCTTGATGCTTCCAGTTGTTAGTTCTGTCAGTTCCAGTTGGTTCGAGTTGGTTCTGGTTAATCGGGTTTCCATTGGTTCCAGACGGTTCCAGTTGTTGGTTCTAGTTGGTTCAAGTTGTTGGTTCCTGATGGTGCCACTTGTTGGCTCCGGTTGTTGGTTCCAGTTGATTCTGGTTGGTGCCTCTTGGTTCTTGCTTGTTACAGTTGATTTTCAAGTGGTTTCAGTTTGTTCCAATTGGTCCCAGTTGGGTTCGGTCGGCTCCAGTTGGTTCCTGCTGGTTCTGGTTAATTCGAGTTGGTTCCGGTTGGTCTCAGTTCCCTTAGTCCCTTTTGTTTCCGGTTGGTTTGTGTCGGTTGCAGTTGCTCGTTCCTGCTGGTTCCAGTTGGTTCCAGTTGATTCCGGTTGGTTCCAGTTGGTTCCAGTTGGTTCCAGTTGGTTCCAGTTCCCTTTGTCCCTGCCGGTTCACAACTGTTTTTTTTTCTGTTTTTTTTTTTTTTTTTTTTTCAATTGCCGGTTCACAACTTACAATCGTACCCTTGCGTCATCTGGCGTCTTTACCGTGGCTGAAGACATCGAGCTGCTCTTCGACTTTCGCGTGGGAGAGAACAAGGGCTGAGGTTGAAGAAATTCAGCCCTGCAAAGGATGGTGTAGACGAAGGACGAGGTTGACGCTGCTCATCTCATGCCGCACCGGTCCTTAGTGACAAGAAGCAGGTGCCTTCGTACGATAATAGAAGATGCATAGTAGCGAATATTCAATGTAGTGTGATGAAGATTATAGGGACGCCGACAGCAATGCTGACGAGGACGATGGCATCGCGAGGGATGACGAGGACGATGACCACGACAGCAATGCTGACGAGGACGATGGCATCGCGAGGGNAGGACGATGGCATCGCGAGGGATGACGAGGACGATGACCACGACAGCAATGCTGACGAGGACGATGGCATCGCGAGGGATGACGAGGACGATGACGGCCGCCGGAACACGGCGGAAATTGGTTTGGTTCCATTCTCTAATGGGAGGCAACATTGCCTGGTCTGTGGTCCTGCTGGTACCTTGAGACAACGGGGAAAAGGTTCAAAAAGCACAGTGCAGCGTGTGCTGCAATTGGTGAGCCTCACATAAACGAGTTGTGGAGAGAGAGAACCCACTGCTCAAGGTCCCTGTCCCTTTTTTTTTCTTTCTTTCTTTTTTTTTTTTTTACCGAGTAGAGCAAGGGTGCATTTTGCAATGGAGTAAGAAAAGAAGAATGCGAAAAAACGTCAAGTGAGGAGCAAGGTAGTCACAGTCCTTTGTCTTTCTTTTTTTTTGTTGTTTAATCATTTTCTTCTTCCCAGGATAGATAACTCAGGAAGCAGCCTGCAGGTATTTTGCCTGCATGTCTGATATATCTACTGGTTAAGTGCTCCGTGATTGACGAGCTAACAGTGATCCTCCGCCGAGTCAGACCACGTCCTCGTCTCCTCGCCTCCGGTTCCTTCTGCCCGACTGGCTGCCTCACACATTACTATTGTCTTCCCCCGAACGTAACGCATATGCGGTGTATTTGAGTTTGAGAAAAAAATATCGAAAATGATGGAAAATCTGAATAGACCACATGCGTTGTATTAAGAAAGAAGGGCTGTTTGAATAGAACGCAGATGCGCTGTATTCGAATAGAAAGCAAACTATGCGCTGTATTCGTTGACAATGAATACGCGTTATGTTGGGTGGAAGACGGTAGAACTCGTGTCCCGCAACCCCATCCAGAGAGTTAATCTCACTAAAAAAGAAAAAGAAAAAGAATGCTCATGCTACGGCCCCCAAGTTTCGTGCCTGCAATCTGCACATCTTGGGCACCATGGTGTTTTTTTTTTTTTTTTTTTTTTTTTTTTTTTTTTTTTTTTTTTTTTTCCGGTTCCTGCCTTTCTCCGTTTGTGCAACTCCCCCACCTCCTAGTCCTCACTCCATCTTCACCAGATTATTGCTGTATCTGGAACACAACTTGGCCCAAATGCGGCTATAATGACCGGGCGTTTTGTTTGGGCGAAGACGGTAGTCTACGCACGTCCACCTCTCCTCCCAGCTGCACCTCGTTTTCTTTTTGGGAGCGAAGGCGAAGCCATCCGTACAGTCTTTCACCGAATGGAACCTACGGCGATTCCTGCGGTGCTGAGACTGAGTTGGGTTCTTATCTTTCTTTCATCTTAAAAAAAAAGTTGTTGCAATTTTAACAATTGCATTAAAGAACATCACTCTCTTTTTCAAGTATTTTTTCTTCGACTTTTTTTTTTGTTTTTTCTCTTATCCTTCCCATGTTGTCCAGAAGTTGTTCTTTTCTTTTTTTTTGGGGGGGGTCTCTTTTGAATTCCACATTGCTTCCACAAGTAATTCATGTCCCTGCTGGAGCATACTACATTTCAATCAGCTGGCTCCCCGCCCAATCCTGCATCGATCCGCTCCCGAGTGCCACGGTGCGTGAAGCTAGCTTCTCCGCCTTGCCGTCCGTCAGAGGCAGAGGAATTTTGTGTGGAGAGAAGTGCACATACGCAAACGGGTCGTACGGCTGTGCACTTGGAGCAGGGACTTGCTGCGCGCGATGAGCACTGGGGGAGTCGATCACCGCCCTGCTCTTCGACTTAACGTTCGTCCATCTCGACGCCCTTCTTCGCTGACCACCCCTTGCGTGCACGCCCAGGGACCCTGCCGATGATGCACACATGGAATCAAAATACAAACTCCTCCATGTGACAAAATCATATTCGTTGGTGCAGAAGGTCACTGAAGAAGAGAGAATTACAAAGAGCACAGCAGAAAGACTCGAGATACGACAAATCTGCAACTAACTTGATGAGAAGTACATGAATAGTAAATAAAACACACAAAAACACACGGAGGACGACGGCAAGCAACATCGCGACTAGGAGCAGCACTGGCAGCCTTCGACAGAGGTCGGCCACGTACGACACGTACGACAGGGAAGTAAGTCGACCACTTACAGTGGATGTCCACCAAACGGCAACGGTGAAGACGGTGAAGGGAGCAAATGGTAGAGGACAGCATACGACAGGCGCACCACCATAACGTTTTCCGTCGCCAACATGACTGGGGATCGGGTAAAATATTCGATTTCCCCGACTGTTGAACCCCACCGAAGGTGGCGGGAAACCCCAGCGAAGCACGGCAACAGCCCCAATTGAAAACGAACCCTGACAACGGCCGTCCTACAAAGGTAATCACTGGGAGAACCTGTTGCCCGAAATCCCAACGTGGAGGCCCCGAAGGAAGAAAGGTGCCGACATTGCGTGCCTTCACCGCTCTCGATGTCCCTTGCATCAGGGCAGGAAATGGGCCACAAGGACGCTATAAGGACTCCTGGAGGAAATCTTTTCACATTCTTTTCCCAAATTCTTCCCCGAGGATAGGTGTAACTATCACATCCTTGGGGAAGAATTTGGGAAAAGAATGTGAAAATTTGAAAACATTTGACGAGTGTCGAATGAGCCCCACAATCTTTAAACAACGATCCGCCATCACTATAGCCCTATTGCTCTATTGCTCTGTTGGCTAGCCATTATGATCCCGGTGAGCTCTAGAGACTCGTAGCTGAGTCATAACAAAGTATCTGAACGCGAATGTGAGGAGACAGTGGCAGTATGCAAAACTAAAAAAACAGTCGCATTCCAAGCGTGCTCATTATTTTTTTATTTTATTTTTTTCTTCTGAAAATGCGGATGCTATTTCTGGGCCCTCACAATTGCATAATCACGGTCAGATCCAGTGCTCTATTTTGTGATTCTGTAACCTGGCAGCTGATTTTGTGATCTGCAATTATAAGAAGGGGAAGGGCCTGCCCTCTTCGCCTGAATAGAACACCGGGTCATTATCGATTCATCTAGACTGGAAGTTGCACCCAATTCAGCCACAATGAACGCGCGTTCTATTGGGATGAAGTAGTGTGACTATGCCCTCATCACACGTGTCGCCACACCATCATAGCTGGGTAATTCCTAAAGGAGAAACTCGAACATGAAGATCTCCGTCAATCCAGAAGGACAACATCAAACACGATCAATGATTACGCTACTGAGTCTTTTGTTTTTAATTTGGAAAAGGCTAATTCTTTATTTTCTCAAATGAAGGAATATAGCAGAACAAAGAGAAAAAAGAGGAGTGAAAATCCCAAAGCGAAAGTTGTGGAATATTGTAACAGGAAAAAGAATGAAAAGAAAGATTGTAAACGGATACTTTCAAAAGATTACGGATATAAGTTATAACCTTGTTTTTTTATTGGAAATGCCGGGGGTTATAACCTGAACCCTCAGCATTTCCAATAGAAAGACAAGGGTTCAAGTCCCTCTCTTTCCGTATTTTCTATTGCTCCTTGAAAAAATTTAAAAAAAAATTAAAAATGATATTGATATCGAATGAGCATCTATCTATTCATATTCGTACGAGTACAAAAATGATATTGATATCGAATGAGCATCTATCTATTCATATTCGTACGAGTAGATAGATGTATTAGTATAAGTAGATACTTTTGTCTATGTTTTCTCCTATGCTATCTTGTACCTCGTCCCGTTTATATTGCCCCTCTTGTGCTATCTTGTACATAGTCTGCAGACATTTTGCTTGTCGGTTGGTTCTCCCCAGAATAGAATGGGGGGTTCTGGGTCTGGCGGTTGGGAGGGCAGTGTGGGGGAAAAAAGAGAAAGAAAAGTATAGATACGGGCCGTACGCCTGGGCTATCATACCTGCCGTGCTACCTCACCCGCCAGTCCGCAATTGCCAACGAAAACGGCGAATATTTGGGCGCCCGTTAACCGTCTCTCATACACTGGGGCCGTGCTATCGATGCACTGAGCTGCAGTGCGTTCTATATGCAATAGATGGCAAAATTGCTTTCCGAAAAAAATCCTGGTGCACTCGTGGTGGTTTATACCACCATGCCTTCTGAAAAACAGGCGCAACCGCGCAGGCAGAACAGAAATAAGTGAATGGCCGTAGCGGCTAACTGGGAAACGGTGGGCCACCTGGTCATCATTGCAATTGTTAAGTGGGTGTGGCAGTCTCGGCTTCACCTTTTCTGTTGTGAGGTGGCGACCGCTTGCTCACACTCGCAAAGGTTTGTTGTCGCCGTTGCTGTAGCTTAATGCATCGCTACCCAGCTGGTTGCAACGCGCATGTCAAACACATAGGTAACTAAGTAACCGGCGAGTGCAGAACAGGCAAACCGTTCAAGTCTGCTGTGCTCGAGTACAAACAAATGCGGGTGCTGTCTTCGGCAAGCAGTTTCAGAGCAACTGTCATCTGCATCATCTTCTCTCTCTTTTTTTTTTTTTTTTTTTTTTTTTTGGAACAAATGCTCCAGTCTATTCGTGGGGAGCAGCACGTGCTGGGAACTGGGCCCAGCGTCCCATATAGAATTACACAAGTCATTCGAGATACTGCAGCCATTACCCGGCTTCGGCTGAGAATCACTCTGAAAACTATCGAAGAAAATTCAAGAGAATTAAAGGAGAGGGTGAAAAACTATGAATGGCTACTAACCTCTTTTCGAATGTTCAGAACAAAACTCTCTAGTACTCTTTAGAACTCTCTAGAACTCTCTAGAACTGTCCCACACTGTTTTATTCCCTGTCGAGCTCTCCCAGGCCTCACACCCCCACCCGTCTAGGTTACAGAGCAACACGACTCGCCCCAGCTCCAGCCACCATTGCCCGAACAGCAATCCTTGGTTGTCCCTTGGAATGCCCACCCCAAAGCATCCCCATCGCGCAACGATTATGTAGCATCCCCAGTATGCAACGATTACGTACTATGGCGCCCGCCCACTCTTTCTTTTCTTTCCTTTTCTTTTCTTCGAGCCTGAATTGGACTACGATAGAGTCTCCTTCTTTTAAATCTGTAAAAAAACGGCTTAAAGACGTGAGCGCCCACTTCGCGTCCTGGCCTTAAGCCCTTTGATTTACCGCTCCTCCTTCTTCCCATCTCCCGATATATGCTTAGTTGGGTCCTGTGGGCCCAACTATGAGGGCCCAACTAGTTATGATGCATGCTCTCTCATTTGACCTGAATGGTTCACCAGTTGCAAACAAATGCTTTCAAGGCGTCAAGCCAAGAAGAACATGCTCTCGGAAAGTCGGATGGGAATGCCGCCTCTAAAAAACATCGTCTTGTACCATTGATGCAAGCGGATAATGGTAGAAAATCCAAACAACAGGCAGAGCTCTAAATTACGAAATTTACAGCTCGGAGCCTCAGTCAGATTTTCACCTTGATCTCTGACGCTTGCATCAATCATCAAAAAAGCATAGCGAAATTTACCGTCAGAGATCAAGGTGAAAATCCAAACAACAGGCAGAGCTCTAAATTACGAAATTTATCGCTCGGTCAGATTTTCACCTTGATCTCTGACGCTTGCATCAATCATCAAAAAAGCATAGCGAAATTTTTCAGAGATCAAGGTGAAAATCCAAACAACAGGCAGACCTCTGAATTATATTTCGAAGCCAGAAATCGAAGAGCGAGTACTGACCCAAATCCGCACTGAGAGGTCCGCCGTGATTTCTTTCCCATTTCGTTACATGAAATTTTACACGGAGGGTGTGTCTGTACCACAGCTTCTTCTACGTACACCTGTGTAGAAGCACCCAAAGGAGAATTTGGTGTATATCAAGTTAGCAACGGAACCAATCGTCCTTAGATACATAGCAAAGTTTACGA